AATATAGAATTGAAAGGACAAAATTGTCATGGCTAAGACAAAAACATAGGCTTTTCACAAAATAGGACTTAATGTTTGGTTTTCCCAAAATAGGACTAATCTTACCTTTTTTTACCCCTAATTCTATTTAACGAATTAATTGATCTAAATAATTGCCCCCCTAGTTTCCTTGCACAACCAAGGCAGTCCGTCGGTGGCGGGACAGTCCCTGGTGGCGGCAGAGCTCCGGTAGCCAGTTGGCAGCGGCGGCGAACTTCGGCATTTAATTAACCCAATTAATTGCCCCCTCCCCCAGTTCCCTTGAACATCCAAGGCAGTCTGTTGGTAGCAGGGCAGTTCGGTGGTGGCGGCGGCGAACTCTGGCGGCGGCAGAAATGTTGGGAAAAGTCCAGAAAAAATCTGAAAATTTTTTAGGTGGTGGTCGACGGAGCTCCGGCGGCAGCAGTCTAAGGGCAGCAATAGAGGTATTTTGGTCCAATCACACATAAAAAGTTCTATTTAAGAATATTTAAACTAAGTGATCCTATTTTGGGAAATATACTTAAGAATGTTTAAAATGATACTCCTTATGTTTTACTCATGTTTTACTCCTATTAGGGCAAAACCCCCAATTGAAAGCTCAACCAAAACAAGAGGATGAGAATTACGATCAAATGACAAGAGTGTTTATTGTAAGAAATGAAAATAAATCTGATGTGTTTAATTTGAGATCTAATCGCTGTAAAAATGCCCAAAAGTACTGAAAAGTGATGAATGACGCACTAAAAAATTCGTAAAAGAATCTGTCAAACAATGAGATACGGAGTAGTAATTCATAAACAGTGTTTCAAAGAATATATCCATCCAATAACAAAGTACGAGTAGTATTCAACTAGGATTTGTCTAACAAAAACATAGCTAAAAAGGTTAGTGTCTGGAAATCAGGATTATTCAAACCAAAATACATAAAAATGACTCTTGTATGATCTAGAATATCACAAAAACGCATGAATATCAATGCTGCTTTCATGTTCCAGTTTCACCGGTAGTCGGTAGAATAAGCTTTCCTGGTTTCATTTTGTGCTGACATAGATGATTGGCTCACAGCTGAAAACGACACCTAAGATACATTCATAGGATTACTGATTGTTTGTAAAAACAAAATATAGCCCAAATAATAAACATGATCATTTTGAAAATAAGCCTTACAAAAAATCATTTAAAGAGGAGGAGGAGGAGGAGAGTACGATAGGTACTTTAGGATAGGATTGGGTGCAAGAAAAACTCAAAATGCTTTGATTAAGATGAGAAAAATTAAATCAAAGAGGAGGAGGAGAAGAAGATCTAGTACGGGAGATGCGACAACTAGCAAAACATGTACGGTACAGAGAAGGTGGACGAGGGTGAGAGAAATATCAAATGGAATTGTTAATCCCGTTTCATTTGATCTATTTATTTATTTATTTATTTATTTATTTATTTATTTATTTATTTATTTATGTGAACATGTTTAATTTATAGGTTTGTAGTATTTGTATCAATTTCTCCCGTACAAATTATTTTGGTAGAATGTAGAACCGTTAAAAGTATGATTTTTTTTTTAATTTTTCATGACAAAAAATATTTTTTTGAGAAAAACTACGGAGTACTAATTTTGTTTTTACACTTTCATACAACTTTAAACATAGCTATTAAGTATGCAAAATAATCCATTGGAAGGATTGGGCCTCACTTTGTAAACCCAAGTCTGCAGGGGGTTTGGGTTTTAAAAGGCTTCGAGACTTTAATTTAGCTATGCTCTCTAAGCAAGCGTGGAGGATCTTTACTAATCCGGAGTCTTTGGTGGGTCAGGTTTACAAAGCAAGATACTTCCCTAAAACAGATTTTTTGAAAGCTAAACCAGGGAATAACCCTTCTTTTATTTGGCGGAGCTTGTTTCATACTCAGAATATCATTCGGGAAGGGTACTGTTGGAGAGTGGGGGATGGTCACTCCATAAACATTTGGGAAGAGCCATGGTTACCGAATAGAGAAAATCTGAGGATTGAAACGGAGAAACTTGAAGGGCTAGACGAGGCCGTTGTGGCCAATTTATTTGATTCTTCTTTTCAGGATTGGGATTTAGATGTGATTACAGATATTTTTGGAGATAGAGATGCGGCCATTATTCGTGGAATACCTCTTAGCAGGAGACCGGTTAAGGATTTGGTGTATTGGCGATGCGAGGAGTGCGGTCTTTTTTCAGTGCGTAGTTGCTATCAAAATTTGGTGGCAGACTATGGGGGGCAGCAGAACATGGAGTGGACTAACATGTGGAAGGTCAAACTTCCTCCTAAAAATATATTGGTAGAATGTAGAACCGTTAAAAGTATGAATTTTTTTAATTTTTCATGACAAAAAATATTTTTTTTTTGAGAAAAACTACGGAGTACTAATTTTGTTTTTACACTTTCATACAACTTTAAACATAGCTATTAAGTATGCAAAATAAGAAAATTGTCAAATTTGTCACACTTATTACTCCCTCCATACTGAAATTAAGTTGCCAGTTTGACTTCATGAGTTTTTAGGTAGAATAAGAAATCAAGCTAACTTTCCAAAAAATTAAAGACACTTAGGTTATTAAAGGGAAAACTGTCAAATAAGTCCACTTACTTTTCACAAAAAGTCAATTGAGTCCATGTACATTTTTGTGAGTCAATTAAGTCCATCAAATATCAAAAAACAATCAAAGAAGCTTTTTCATAGGTAATAAACCGGTTACCCAGTTAACGCCTACGTGGCTGCCCTAGTTGGCGTTTTTTTAATGTTTCCTAATTTTTTAAATTTTCTTTTCTTGTTCTTTTTCGTTTTTCCTTTTTTCTTTTCCCTCTTCCTTTTTCCCTTTCTTTCTCGTTCTTCCTTGTCCGCTGTTTTCTGTCTTTACCCGTCCCCTGCTCCTCTTTGTCTACTTCTTCCAACCTCCGGCCACCACTTCCATCTCCTCCATTGGAGCGGTGCCCCGGCCTCCATAACCACCATCTCCGTGTGCGGCCTCCACCTCCGCCACCCTACTTCCCACCACACCGCCTTCGGCCACCACATCTGCGGCCTCTGCCTCCGGCCACCACATCTGGGGCCTCCACCCCCTCCTCATCCATTATGGCGACCTCCAACCGTCCCCACATGCCCACATCCATAGCCACCCACCTCCGCATGCGGCCTCCACCTCCTCCGCCCCAATCTCCATACAAATACCTTCGGCCACCACCTTTGCGTCATGCATCTATCTCCGCCTCTTCGATTGGAATGACCTCCAATCACCCCGACCTTCATCGATCTTCGCCGCCACATCCATTGGATCAACCTCCAATCATTCGGCCTCCGTCTCCGCCGCCCCTGCCTCTATAGTTACAGGATCTGCCGTCTCTTACTCGGCCTCAGTCACTATCTCCGCCGGCAATGGCGGATCTTGCGATCAAAAGTTGGGTGTTCAAAATTAATTTATCATCAAAATGTTGAACACATAATATTATTTGATCCAACAATTGACTATATGTTAACTGTTTCAACAACAAAAAATGGCAATTAAGATTAAATGTAAGAGATATTATCTAAAAATACACTAAATAAATTATTCCATCAATTCTATATGTATATTTTAACATTAAATTTGTAAATTATCGAACACCCTTGAACCAAAGGGATCCGCCCCTGCTTCTAGGGAGAAGATTAAAGGAGAAGGAAGCCTTGGGAGAAGATTTGGAATTGACAGAGAAGGGGAGAAGGGAGCTGATCGTGGACAGGTAGACACAGAGAAAGGAAAGAGAAAAAACAAAAGAAAAAGAAAAAGAAAATGAAAAATAATATAAATAAATGAAAAATAATAAATAAAAAGCCAACTAGACAGACATGTAGGCAAGCAACCGGCTAACCGGTTGATTACCCACAAAAAGGCTGATTTGGTTAGTTTTTCATACTTCATGGACTTAATTGATCGGTTAAAAAGTGCATGAACTCAATTGACTTTTTGTGGAAAGTAGATGGACTTATTTGACAGTTTTCCCGTTATTAAAAGATGTATCCAAACGGATGTAATAAAGAAGGTAAATGAATAAGGAAATAAGAGTAATCGACATGAATTCGATCAATAAAGTGATGCTTTGAAGGTTAAAGGTAAATGAAAAATAAAAACTTATCAAATGTAAAAAAATACAAGAACTTTACTTTGCGACATCTCAAAAAGAGAACGAAAAATAAAAACTTATCAACTTCCACCGATATTTCATTAATTTTGAACCGAGTAAATATTCATCCATTTGTGTATTATCAAACCGATCTCACTATCATATGTCAAACTTTCATTTATTGTTTTCTCCCGCGTATTGGGCCCAATGAACTAATCATGCATTAAGGAACCCGAAAAAATAAAAAATGGGAATTTTTCACAAATGGACTAAAAACCTAAAAGTAAGGAGTGTTTGAAACTAATTCTGATTTTACTTCTTTTTTAAAGTAGAAGCAGAAACAGAATTTGAGGCCGTTTGGCAACAATGTTTTTCGGCTTATCAGGCTTATCAACCAACTTTTTCACCAAACACGTAATTTTTATTTCTGTGCGCTGAATTGTGTAATAAGCAGAAAAAGTAAGGTTGGAGTTACTTTTCTGACTGTATTGGCTAAAGTTACTGTAGATGATCATTTTAGCTATTTTACATATAATTTTTTCTTTATTTTATTAACAAAATATATTTTAAAAATATTTTTTCTTAAATCAGCAGAAACAACCAATGCAGCCACTTCAGCCAGAACTTCATAAATTTCAGCAGAATCAGCCAAAACAGCCGATTTTCGTGCTACCAAACGGGCTCTTAGTTTTCAGAAGCTGGTCTACTCCAGCTTATAAAAAATCTGATTCTAGGAGTAAATTAGACACCATAATCACTTCTGCATTTTATCCAAACACTTCAACTTCTGCTCCCTGAAAAAGCCGAAGCAGTTTTAAAAATCATATTCAAACTCCTAATATCACTTTTCGATCACTTTTGAAAGTTTCTTCAAAAATAGACTAACCAAAGATGTCTTTTCAAGAATAACCTTAAGCCTGCTTACGATAGTAACGACACTTAACAACACTTAAGCCTTAAGCCCTATGCTATCATTACGTTGAAGGCACTTAAGCCTTAAGAAGTTATAATTTGTAATACTATCACTACAGAAGGCACTTAAGCCTTAAGCTGTATACTTTTTTTTTACAACGGAAATAAAAATAGGAAAAAACATATTAAAATCTAATACTCTCTAACCCATTAGCATCCTTTCAAAGAAGTTGTTTGATCCAACTTGGAGCTGATTCAAGAACTGAAAGACCCTTTGGAACTTGATGTGCAGCATTAGCAAGCCTATCGGCACATTTATTTCCTTCACGGTAGATATGTTTAATTTGAACGAATCGACCATCCTCGAGTAGTATTCAACAATCTCGAACTAGGACTCCGATATTCGCTATCCACAAGCCGCGTCTCCTTTTGAGTGCCTTTATCATACTTTCTGAATCCACTTCCACGACGACCTTCTTCAAATTCAGCTCTTTAACCAACCACAATCCCTGACGAAGTCCCCAGAGTTCCGCTTTGAAGCTATCAGTTCTCCCAATGTTCAATGTGAATCCAATAATCCATTCCCCTTTGTGATTCCGAATAACTCCACCTGCTCCTGCCTCTCTCCCGTCATCCCAACTGGAGCCGTCACAATTTAGCTTGAAAGATTCGGAGTCGGGTGGAATCCACTTAATATAGTTAGCCACCTTTAATTGTTTTATTCCATCCCTAACACTTACTTTGTTATACTCCTCTGCATGTGCATATGCGGTCCTCACAACTCTATCTGCATCTGGACGGAAGCCTTCAAAAATCCAAGCGTTACGAGCTTTCCATAAACACCAAATAACATAAGCAAACCTGGAAGCGTGGGGAATCCTGTCCGAATTTCTTCCCTTCCCTTGGCAGTGTCTCCATATCCATTCCAAAGTATTGAGAAACCAATCTCTCATCCTAGGAACACCAAATGCAGCTTTGGTCCAACATGTTGCAACAAATTCACAGTCACACAGCATATGGAGGACGGTTTCCTCTTCAGTATTGCAAATAGACATGTTGAATCATTTGAGAGATGTCATCTAAACTCTTTCCGCATTTGTCAGAACTCTGTTCTTCCCAGCCTACCAGAGGAAGCAACGCACCTTCTCTGCTGCATTTATTCTCCATATCCAGCTCATATCTTCTTCGGCCTAAATAAAAAAAGAAGCCTCGTAAGCAGATTTGATAGTGAACTCACCAGTGGCTGAAAACCTCCAGTAAATGCTATCACGGTTCTCCTTCTCGTGTGGTATGGGGATAGCTCTAACATCACTCACTACATCCTCGGGCAGCATCTCTTCCAATTTAGTAACATTCCACTGCTTGGAAGGAGTGATAAAATCCACCACTTTGACTAAGCTCGCTGAAGCCAGAAGAGGAGAGCCCAAGTCTTCATATAGCGGTCTGTCACGTACCCAATGATCAAACCAAAAGGAAATATCTTTCCCAGTCTCTACCTGCCAGCATAACCCTCGTTGAATGATACTTTTGCATGTAATAATATCCCTCCAGACATGAGAAGAGCCGACCTTCCTCTCAGCCTCCCAGAAAGAGGTGTTTGATCGCTTACCAATTTCAGTCATACCTGCCTGTTTGATCTTTTTGGTGGAACAGTGGAGATGATCTTCCTCCTCCACTGAGGGAGGCGGTGATGATGTATTCCCTTCCACGTTGGAACTCATAGCTTCCCCTCTCTCTCTCTCTCTCTCGTTGCAATCACACCTATTTGTTCATTAATGATCCTTCTAGTGAAAAAGTGGACTTTGCAGTTATTTTATTGAAATAGTGAACCTTAAGTATAATGTTAATTGGACTGCAAAGGCCACTTTTTCACCTATTTGTTCACTATTATTCACTATAGAAAAATAGTGAATAAAATTGAAAGGTTAACTCACTTGATGTAGTAATGAAATTTATCTTCAATTCTCTTGGCCCTAAGAAGAAGAAGCTCTACAACAATGTTAATTGGAGTTTATCTCCAGAGTGCCAAATCCTGGATTTGACAGAAGATTAACTGGAAAAAAGTGAAAAAGTGAAGAAAAAAAAAGTGAAGGTTAGTGCGACGAGGGTTAACACATAAGGTTATACTTGTTCGGTTTTGTAAAGTTGTCATCAACAAAAATCTGAATTCCTTTACATTTGAGATGCATTCAAAACAATATAGGCTCACCGGTTTGTTCAAAAGCATACTACTTAGCTAAAGTGTTAAACAATGACTCTACTCCCTCTTCCGAGCCTGGAGACCGCTAGATCGATCGCCTGGTTTGCGGACGACGGTGGGACGAGGACATCAAATAGAAATCCTGTGTTTGGAAAAACAAAGAAAAATTAATTAATAAAAATTAATTAAATAAAGTGACTAAAGGAAAACATAAAATAGATGAAACAGAAATTAGTCAAAGCTCGTGCTACGCACGATGTTTTTAAAACGTATTCGTTGCCTCCCGGAGTGTTAGGAGCGTTGCAACGATCGTTTCAGCAACCGTTTGAGCTCAATCGGGCCATGGGATCCACTTCTCTGAGAAGAGAGTTAAAGTTGATCTGATCTCCCGTCGGCTCTGCCATATTTCTTTCACCAGAAACGTTGATGATCGGAAATCTCCCCTGCCCCCTTCCCAATATTTTCTACTTGTGGAAGACGTTAGGAGACGTGGCTAAAAGTGAAATGAAAAAACCGAAATTGAAAACAGAAAAAGTTAAAAATGAAAAGGAAAAGCACTATGGGTAATTACCACTAAAAAAAATGTTCAAAAGGACCAGAGTCAATCACACCCGTACCCATATTGCATAAACTAGACGCTATTGGACTAGCTCCCCATATGGGCTCGCGTTCAAAACCCTTAATGGACTAAGTGATTTTTTAATTACTTGGACTTTTATCAATCTCATATCAGATCAGATCAAACCAAACTTGGATAGTTTTTGAAATACACATAGATCAGACATTTACTTGATCAGACTAGTTCTGACCAGATCAGATCATGTCAGACTAGATTAGCAAATTTCATCCACATCTAAAACATTCTGATCTCTGTTTGTTTTTGAAAACACGATAAAACTTTCTAATTCTGGGAAAAGAACCGGATCAATCCCAATTCAGTTACAATATGGAACTGTTTCTACCTCTAAAGTCTAAACTCCCATATCACCTTACAAGTTGCCACATGAAAAATTAATGGGGCATGGGGGATGTAGGTGAAATTCATCGGTCACATTTATAGGCAAATGGGCAGCTGGTTTATAAAGTTCATGGAGATTAAAATACTTTGTAATCGTACACAATAGACTTCAAAATTGCTCTCATCACACCTAAAACACGACAAACTAAAAGAAAGTGTTATTTTCAATTCACAGCTAGTATACCTGTCTCATATGTAAAGGTTTTTACATGATTAATGTGCAATGAACAGGTTATTTGAACCAATCTTAAACAGTTGGACTGAATCTACTAGGGTATGTACTAGGGCTGCAGGGTTTAATTAGGGTGACAATTTCACTTATAAGTGTAAAATATACAATCCGACCTCATGAACATGTGATTATGTGAACATAACCAGCAAAAACAATTATTATCGGATGATGGATGAATTAGATGATGATGAATCGAATAAGGTATGACTGAACATATATTCAACCGACACCGACCGTCATCAGCATTATATGATGTAATGCAATGTAATGGAATGAAATGTGTAATGCAATACAAAATGCAATGTAATGTAATGGAGTCTGTATTCCATTACAATGTTTGGTTACTTAAGTAATACTCCATCCGCCCCTCTTATAGTGTCACGTTCTTCCGTCCCAATATAAAAGGGACGGAAGGGACGGAGCTAGTAACAACTTTGAAATGCAATCAACATTACATAATTATGTTTGTTTATGTACATAATGTTTTTAGTGTAGTTTTATAATGCAACTTTGTAATGCTCATTGCTCCATCCTCTCTTCTTCCATTTTGATGGTTTCTTCTTTTGTGTCTGTGATTTTATAGCCAAGCCGCTTCCCTAGAGAGATGTGTGTGTGATTGTGTGCTCTAGCTCAATGAAATAAGGAGCTAGTATTTATAATTTAATTGATCGATCAAAACATACTATATGCTTCCCGAAAAGGTTGATTATAATTACATGATTATGACTAAAATGAAGACAATTTACAAAAATATGATTAGTGACTATAGTAGTAATGAAATCATAGTAACTTATATTCAATTTTTAAACTTAAGTTACTATGGCATCGCATTGTAGTAACTAATAGTCATATTTATGTAATTAAATTTTATTTTAGTAATATTTTTGTAAAAATCCCAAAACTTAAACAATAATTTTAATTATTATATTTGTATATAATTTATAAATTTTATACCTTTATGAAAATATTTTGAATAAGTAATATTTTGATATAATTTTAATATTCAAAATGATTTCGTATTAAAAGATATCATTGGTAAAAGTTGATTGTCATTAATAAAAAATGTAAATTTGGTGTTTTTTACGGGACGTAGAGAGTACTAATTATGTTTATAGATATTGCCCTCGATAGGACTAAAGTTTACCCAAAATGCACAAATTGGACTACTACTTTTTAATTCCATCCAAGTAGGATTAAACATTGATTTCTACTCTAATTACCCCTCAGAGGTATTAATTCATAATGAAATGTCCTCATTCATAACAAAATCATAAAAAATACTCGTAATAAAAATTTTTAAAAAAATAACAATTTTTTTAAAGAAATTATAAATTAATAAATATTTAAAAAATTAAAAAAAAAAAGATTTTTGTAAATTATTAAAAACTACTAAAAAATCATTAAAAAATATAAAAATATGGATACCTTTCCCACCGCCTCCCAGCACCACCATCTCTATTCAGTGAAAATTCTGCAATTTTTTTCTGAAATTTCCAAGAAAATGGAATTACTAATCTTCATAGTGCCAAATTTCTCATTGAATCTTCCATTATTATGGCATTACTAAAAATGTTGACAGATTTCGAACCACTAATGGGAGCTGGTGGTCTTGGTGGTCGCAGAGGCGGCAACATTTATTTTTTGCGTTTTTAATTAATTTTTGTAATTTTTTTTAAAAATTATTTTTTATTTTATAGATATTTTATAAACTTTTTATTATTTTTCTACATTTTTTATTATTTTTTTACGTTTATTATTATTTTTTATGATTTTCTACGGTAAAATGGGACGATCTTAGCAGGACGGATGGAGTATCAATTAAGCCATTTTAAATCTGCAAGGTAATTCACTCTTATGTTTAATACCTGATTTACCCTTATTCTCTTTTTATTACTTTTTATAATCACTTATTTCTATTTTTAAAAACTTTGACTTATTTTGTCACATTCTACTTTCATACTCTCTTTTTTGTTCCCATACTACGATGTACTATTTTACTCATTATTTGTTTTCTTGTGAGAGAGCCAATAAAAGAAAACAAAACTAATATATTGTGTACGTTTTATATATCTCAAATTTATGTCTGGATGGGGGCGGAAGTAAATGAGGTAGGTTTCAGAAGTGGTGGACTAGGATGGGCCGGCCCGATCCAGGACCCGACCCAGTCAACCAGGCCCGGTGACCCAACCCGGGATTGAAAGAGGCGGGCTACGGGCTCTGTTTTAAGGCGATCAGCGGGGCCGGACCGGGCCCAATCTTGGTCTTAATTTTTTTAAATTTTTTTTTTTGCATTGGGCTGGGTGCTAGGTGGGTGGGGATGGACGGTTTTTTGGAGGGGGGGGGGGATTGGAATTAATTCATAAAGACAAAATAAAAAATATTAATTTAAGCTCGGTACTAACCCGGGCCAGTACCGCACCTAAATATTTTGGACCCGAAGCCCGCCCAAGCCTGGCCCGGAGCCCGATCCAACACGGTTCCGGTCCACCCCTAGGTTTGAGTAATCTCAAAGTCACCCTATAATGAGTAATCTCAAATACACAATTTTTCCCATGCAATTAAAGCTTATTACAGCTTAATGAATTTCACATATGCAATGTTCATTAAGTTACGATTTAAAATAAAATGACATACCAAACATCGTATTCGAAGCAACATGTAATACTCATTACATTACCAGTATTTACTAGGTTGATATATCATACCAAACATGGCCTAAATACATTTATATGTAATTCGTTCTTTCTAATTATCTTAAGTTACATATTTATTAGTGTGAGTTACATGTCAACTTTGCAAGGCAAGTTACATCTTCCTTACACGTGATTTACATTTTGCATAATACGAGTTACACCTGAATATAATACGAGTTACACAACACAATAAGCCCATGTTATTCAAAGAAAAATCGTTTTCATAAAAAATCATTTTTATAGTACTGATATTAAAAACAAGACATATACACAATTTATGTCAAATAGTTGGAAAATTAGACTCCTTTTTTCCCATTGAAATCAATCTTTTATTCCTTATGTTATGTATTGAATTAGTTACATTTCGACTAGACTTGAGTTACATTCATCAATCGCGTTAGTTACATTTCTTTACACGTGAGTTACACCATTCTGTTACTGGAACAAGTGAAAAATAAAAAAAGAAGTACTGTTCACGCGTGTTCTGTTCACGCGAGAATTTTTTAATTTAAAATCGTTGCAAAACTGCGTCATTTTGGATCAGCACGGTGCTCACCGTGGGATTCATTTTGGATCAGGAGCACGGTGCTCACCGTGGGATGATCCCACGGTATAGGAACTGCTCCCATTCTCCCTTTGCTCCATCGTGCAGGAGTCAATAGCCCCACCCAAGGGAGTGCTTTGCTCCCACTTTAACTTCCCAAATACTACCTCCGTCTCAAATTGATTTGCAAATTTGACTTTTCTTGGTCAAACATCTTCATTTTATTTGCTTAATTAGGATGTCAAATTTTAATTATATTCTAATTTGGAATTTGGAACTTTGAAGAGAATTTAATGTAATTTCTATATATGTAAATTTTAATTATTAAAAATTGAGTTAATATTGATAGAGAGGTTTGACTTTTATTATTTATTGACCAAAAAATATTGACTTTGCAAAACAATTTGGGACGGATGGAGTACATGGGTTGCTAAGCTTTTTTAGGTGAAATGTGAATAGATTAAATTTGCCTTATTCAACCCTGGGTTGTGGGCAACCTTAGAAATAATGAAGTCATGAGTTCGAAATTAATTGGAAACAGTTTCAGTCTTATCAATTCCACCCCTAGCCCCCCCTCCGTGTAATTGTGTAGTGTGTTTTACGGGTGTGTTTAATTGCATGTAGGGTTGTCCGCAGTCCGGATTGATCCGGTAAATTAGCAAAATCCATAATGTACGCATGAGGTTTCTAATGGTTTAGTACCGTCTGTATTTATGGTTGCAATCATTTGATATTATGCTGTTTTGAAACAGTATAATGTCAAACCAATGCCAACTTTTTAGAAAATGTTGCAATTAGTAGTTACCATTATGTCGACAAAATCACACGAAATGTTGATAAAAAGTACTCCGTATAAGAAAGAGCACACTAAATGCTATGAAAGATTCTTGAAGCTTATATTTTTATCTTCAAGTTTTGTAAATATACAAATATTGTAACACAACTAAGGAAAAATATAACAAAATGACGATACATTACATAGTGTTCATCTTCATTACATCCACATAAAAACTCATCATTCATCATTTTTGTTTTAGCTTGAACATTAATTCTAATTCATAATTGCACATTCATAAATTGTAAATAAAAACTACACAAATATGATTCAACAAATAGTCATATACACAACAATAATGGAAGTTAATACACAATAATGATTTTTAAGACATTAGTGTATTTTTTTCAATTTATGCTAAATATAACATAAGTTTGTTAAAGGAACAGATAACATGATTAAAAACACATGTGGCTATTTTGAGAAGAATGAATGCATATTTTTTTTAAAAAGACAATTTTATTCATAAAATAAAGGGTACAGTGCAAGAAGGTAAATAAAAGAAAAAAGTACAGAAAAGAAAAGTGAAGAAAAGTTAAGGCAACGACTAGACCTAAGAGAAATCTCTGGATTGAGATCTAGTCCTCATACTGTGGCGCCTTTTATTCTTCTAAGACTTCCTGTAAATCTTGAGTTGAGTGTTGAGGTGGTCTGTTGGCAAGCAGTTTTCGGAGGTGACGAATTTTGATTTTCTGCAAATCGATCTGTTAAATTTGGAGTTTCTAATTTCTTCCTGGTTTGATATAGGGGGACGACGATCACTTTCTATCGCATGTCCCTGAAAATCATCCGTAAAGAAAGAGTCATCAGAGAGTCATAGTGAACCATATCATCTATAATTTGATTAATTTGTTTCAATATGAATCGGTTCGCTTTCTATATTGATTTTTGGTTGATTTCGATTTATCGCCATTTTTTCACCCTTACATTAGATATGTGTGGCATTGGGGTAATGATGATGACATGAGATATGTATGTATGCGTTGTATAATCAATTAAAACCCGATATTAATGTTACAAGCTCGTTTGGTAATTCGGTGCGACGAATTGTAGAATAATAAGAAAAAGTAAGGGAAAACTATCAAATAAGCCCCGTACTGTACCGAAAAAGTCAATTAGGCCCTCGTACTTTACAAACACTCAATTAAGTCCTCGAACTATTAAAAAACGTTCAATTAAGCCCTTTCGGTCAGTAAGTATCTGATTTCCCGGTTAAATGTAACCCGTTTCCCGGCAGCCGCCGTTGCTGGGGTTCGAGCACATCTTCGCCGTCGTCGCCGTTTAATTGGGAAACTGGTTACTTACCGACCAAAAGGGCTTAATTGAACGTTTTTTAATAGTTCGAGGACTTAATTGATTGTTTGTAAAGTACGAGGGTCCAATATTTGATAGTAATATTGGAGTTACTCTTTTAGTAGTATTGGCTGAAGTTACAGTAGTGGATCATTTTAACTATATTTTTTTATTAAAAAATTATATTTTATATTTTTTTTTCATAATTAAGTAGAATCAACCAATCCAGTCACATCAACTAGAACTTAATAAATTCCAGCGTAATCAACGATTCAGTTGGATTTTGGTAGTACCAAACGGGCTCTAAATGATGTTAAGGTAGTGTTTTCAAGTGCTTCTGCTTAAAGAAAACACTTTTGGAGTGATTGAGAAAAAGTGATAAGTAGTAAAAGTTGATAGTGTTTGAGAAAAAAGTGATTTTGAAAAGTAAAAGTTGGTAGTGTTTGGTAAAATAAGTGTTTTTTGTGTAATAGAAAAGGGAAAAACACTGTTCACACACAAGCCGAGAAAAAGTAAAAATTGGTAGTGTTTAGTAAATAAGTGTTTTTTAAACCAAAAGCTGAGAAGTATTTTTTTTAAGCTATTGCAAACACTCCCTAAAAATTGGCAAAAAAACAAGGGCATGTAATAAAAATAATACTCCAAACTCTGAAGGAGTGTGAGGTAAACATTCCAAACTTGCATATATAATTTAAAAATCCCAAATTTTATATAAAAAGTTTTTTTGCACCATTGGCATGTATTATTTCTTCCAAAAATGTAAATTTATTGGGTTAATTGCATAATTTAAAATAGCAAATTAAAAGTGTTGTAATTATATAGATTAGGGGTAACCTTATTTATTTCACAATGGAAGTTTAGGATGTTCATCCCCTTCAAAGTTTGGGTATTTTAATTATTTTTTACAAAAAACAAAAGTGAGGTTTCTTATTTTTAGAGCTTTATTATCAAATTCAAATTAGGAAAAGAAACAGAATTTAAAAAATTATTATTAGCAGATAAAACAGAAAATGGTAATACAATACTCCGTACTATGAAAAAACCGATTCCTTCAAGCAGGTCACCACCATAAAATGGTGATCTAAGGTTAAGTATTAGCAGATTACTTGTTCTGAACAACCGTAAATAATTAATTAATGGTTAAGACATACGGAGTAATAAACAAACATTTAATTAACTAAACAATAAGTCAATAAGACAAGAAAAATCTGCAATTCGATCTTTTTTTATAGCTTTCTGGCTATGCCTCTAACCAAAGAACAAAGACCAGTGTTGCAGTAGTGGCAGCAACAGTTTTAGAAGAAGAACAGGAGGCATGGTGATGAAATATCGCATTTGCCCTCTCCTCATCCCCAAACCCATCATCAAAGTTGAGTGCGTAACTCCAAGGGTCGTATTGGAATTTCACCTGCCGCCGCCGGCGGCCTCCTCCGCACCAGTTCTTGACCGCCTTCTTCACGGCGGCTCTCATTCTCCGCAGAAAGCAGCATTGCTTCTTCTTCGTCCTTTCCGTACATATAAAGCTCAGTAAACATCCACCCATGGTATATTCAATTCCTAGCAGAGAGAATACAAAATATTTCTATGATGTAATATGTGTGGGAGTTGTAGAGGACTCTGTGGGCTCTGTTTTATACAATGCGATGTAGAAAAAAGAGGAAAAGAAAAAACATGTACTTTATCTATGGTGTTTAGCCATGTTTCCTTTTTGACTTAGTTCCCCCTTTTATGGGTTATTCTTATTTTAATCGAACTTTAATAAAAGGTATAAAAAATTATACCTAAAAATAGCTAAAATCGTCATCTACAGTAACTTCAGCCAATACAGCCAAAAAAGTAACTCCAACCTTACTTTTTCTGCTTATTACACGATTCAATACGCGAAAGCAAGAGTTACGTGTTTGGTGAAAAAGTTGGTTGATAAGTCTGATAAGCCGAAAAACAGTGTTGCCAAACGGTCTCTAAAAGTAATTTATTGAGCTTTCAATGAGAATTAGAGTGTGTTCTTCGAGGTTTGAACGATAAATGCGGTGTTTGGAATTGATTCTGCTTGCACTTATTTTTTTAAAATCTGAATCATAACTAGAATTAGTTTTTCAAAAATCGACCTCCCTACTCCTAAAAAGTATTTTTTTAGGAGCAATTTAGAGTACTCAAAAATACTTCTACAATTTCATTCAAACACTTTAATACGAAGTACGAGTATATGTTTATGTTCATCAAAAAAAGTGGAAACAGTTCAAAGAGTTCAGAGAAGTAGATCCAAAAAATCTAAAATGAATATTTCACAGTTTACTTTGGAAACAATTTTGATGGATTGTAAGTGTGTTCTCAAAAAATAGTCACCTATCAATCCTATTAACAATTTACATTTGATCTAGAAAAGGAACAAGATGTTAATCTTAAATCTTACTCCCTATTAGAAGCTGTTCTCTTCGTCTGATCTGAATGTTTCTGATCTGAATTTTTTAAGTTCTGATCTGATCTGATCTGAATTTTTCTGATCTGATCTGATCTGATCTGAATCTTTCTGATCTGATCTGATCTGATCTGAATTTTTCTGATCTGATCTGATCTGATCTGAATCTTTCTGATCTGATCTGAATGTTTCTGATCTGGTCTGATCTGATCTGAATGTTTCTGATCTGATCTGAATCCTTCTGATCTGATCTGAATCTTTCTGATCTGATCTGATTTGAATGTTTCTATGATTATAATTATGATTATAATTATAATTATAATTATTATAATTGCAATTACAAATATAATTTAAATAAAATTATAATTATAATCGTAACTATAATAATAATAATAATAATAATTAAAATTAAATTTAAAATGAAAAAATTTATACCTATTACACTAATTATAAATATAGATATAATTATAACTGTAATTATATTTTTAATTATAATTACTTATATAATTATAATTGTAATTATAATTACAATATTTATCTCTATAATTGTAACTATAGTTATGAATATTATTATAATTACTCCGTAAAATAATTACAATAGTAATAATAATAATAATAATTATTATTATTATAATAAAAATAATAATTATAAACATAAATTATAATTATAATATAATTATAAGTATAATTATAATTATTATTATTATAATTAATAATAATTATAATTATATTAAAATTAATTATAATATTATAATATAATAATATAATTATAATTATTATAATTATAATTAATAATAATTATAATTATATTAACATTAATTATCATAACGATATTATTATATTAACATTAATAATAATTATAATTATATTAATCATTAATTAACATTAATAAAAATAGTACTATAAATACAATTAATATTATCATAACGATATTATTATATTAATATTATTATTACAATATATTAATAATAATACGATTATTATTATTATTAGTATTATATTATTATAATATTATATTATAATTATAATTATAATCATATTTATAATTATGATTGTAATTATAATTATTATTATAATTATTATAATTATAATTAATTATAGATATAATTATAATAATTACAATTGATTATACTTATAATTATAAGAATTATAATTGTAATTATAATTATAATTACATATAATTATAATATAATATTATAATAATATTAATCATATTATTATTATTATATTGTAATAATAATAATAATAATAATAATAATAATAATAATAATAGTCTTCTTAACAATTGCATTTATATTACTATTATTATATTAAAATAATATAACTATTATTAATATCTTATTTCTTTATCATATTATTATTAATATATTAATAATTATATAATAATAAAAATTATAATAGTAATAACAATATTAATAATAATAATAATTAATATAATAATAAAAGTGATAAATCATGTTTGAACTTTTCTGATCTGATCTGATCTGAATGTTTCTGATCTGATCTGAATGTTTCTGATCTGGTCTGATCTGATCTGAATCTTTCTGATCTGATCTGAATCTTTCTGATCTGATCTGATCTGATCTGAATCTTTCTGATCTGATCTGATCTGATCTGAATCTTTCTGATCTGATCTGATCTGATCTGAATTTTTCTGATCTGATCTGATCTGATCTGAATAAAATAAGAATAAGCAATAAGTAATAAGAATAAGACGAACAGAACAGCACCTTAGTCAACAAAGGAAGGAAATGGAGGGAGGAGAGAGGAGGAGAATTAAAGTTGAAAGGCTTTTAGGTCTTCTATAAAGGAGCTGTCCCTTTGTTCGCTGCACAGCTGCAGAAGTCCTTACAGTGTTAAGATTTTATTTTTTTGATGCATTGGGAGACTCAAATTCTATGAGGCGGAGGGGTAAAGCAGGGTAGGGAAATAGGCATGGGCGGGTAAAGGCGGAGTGGGAGTAGTCCGTCGCATCGCCATCAACTGTACTGTCAAATTCTAAAAGTGATAAGCTATTGTTTAACTCTACTATTGTCTTGGGAAGATTGGGTGGATTCGGTTCCATCTCTTTTCCTTTTGTAGTTTTTCAAAGGCATACTCGATTGATTCCTCGAGCTTCGAAGATTCCTGAGCTAACCGAGTTCGACCGGATGGAATTGACTAGGGATTAGTGAATTCGGATCGGCATCCACTACAAAAAAAATTACTAGATTGATAGAGAATTTGACAGAGATTCTACAAAACTCGTGTAAAAAACATTTGGGATCGAGCTATTTGGCATGAAAAGTCGGTAATTCGTGTCAAATTCTGTGCAAATCCTGTGTTTTTTTAATAGTGACAAAGGGAGAGACATCCGTTTTAGATGTGTAATACGAAGTATAAGCCTATTTTGCATTGTAATATCATTATTGTTGATCATCAAGGACAGAATGTTAGCACTATTATTATTATTGTAGTACGGAGTATTATAATAAAAAGTTTAAAAGGTCTGCAGGATATTTTGGGAAAAAATCAAAGTGCCCATTTAGAATTTCATATTTTCAGCTTGTCACATTATCAATCATTTTTATTAAACATGATTTTTGAATTCACGTTGAATTATATATCAATAAAAATAAGTAAAATTTTAGTTTAGACTGAATTAGTTGATATTAATATAACAGACCATTTGAGCTAATTTCTCATATAATTTTTTTGTACATTTTAATCTTATTAATAAAATATGATCGAATATAATTTTTTTATACATAATTCAGCCGTTATAGTAAAAAAATTCATCAATGAATAGCTGAAGTCGATTCAACCAATTTCAAGTTTACCAAATGGACTCTAAGTTGTGTGAGCTGAGCAGTAACATACAAAGTAGTTATATTATGTGCATGTTTGGTATGCATAAGTCACTATCTTCTAATTTTTGTACTATTTAAAAAGTCTCTAAAAGCTTCTGTTTGCATGTTTGCTAGGACATTTATCAGAGCTTATTATAAAATAAAAGATCTTTTTTGAAATGCAATAGTGGTAGCATCTAAGAGAAAGTCATTAGTTTTTATCATTAATTAGTGACAACAGCTTGTTATATCGAACAGAACTAAATCCAACAGTCAGTTTTTTATCAAGCAACTACAAGTCTACAACATTTTCTTTTTACAATCTTTCAGTCACTAAAAACTAGTGTAATAGTTATTAAAATTTTCATAATAATATCTTGTCAGCTAGTTGTGTCAAACATACCCTACGCCTTCCTTCCGGTATCTTTGTTCCATGAAATTGGTGAAACTATGACGTAAATTATATTTTATTAATAAAACAAAAAAATATTCCGTATGATGATAGTCTTGTTTAGCAATTTCAATCAATTTAACAAAGAGAAGTAATTTTGATTGTACTTATTTTGATTGTTACCGTATCCAACTCAAAAGATTACAAATTAAAAAAAGAGTTTCTATTTTGATAAGATTGATACATTAAAAATGAGATTGCCAAACGTGCTTTTAATGGAAGTTGCATATTGGTAAGTACTTTTTGGTTTCCTTTTATTTAATGACGAATAACTCTCACATTAGTGTAATAACTCGCGAACCATTTAAGAAAGACACATAAATTAGTGTTTGCAATTAGTTCTGCTTCTATTTTTTAAAATAGAAAATTGGAATTAGTTTTTAAAAGTTGATATTCCTCGACTTCTAAAAAAAATGCTTCTAAGGGCAATTTCATCCAAATACTTTGATATCTAAAGAAGTAGACACGGGCGGTTTTAAGAATTAGATTGAGGGGGTGTTTGGATGTACTTCTAGAAAACTATTTCTGCTCTTTCATGGAACAAAAATAGATATTGGGGTGTTTTAATGAAAGTGTATAAGCATATCTGGATACTCCAAAATACTCTTAGAAGCAAATTTTAGAAGTTAAAGAAGATCAATTTCTGAAAAACTGATTCTCATTCTATTTTTTTTAAAAAAAAAAATTAGTAATAGAATAAATTCCGAGTACCCTCAAACTCCATCTAAATAAGATGGCTAAAGGGTCAAATAGCCTCTTGAACTAACTTAAAGTGTTCAATTAGCCCATTATATAGTCTAGTTTACCCATATCAAATTTCAGCTAAAAATCAAATGATTTTTCGAAATGTATTGCGCTGTTTAGCTACGCAGTTATCTTCAAAAAAATCATTTGATTGTCTTCCCCATTGAATTTTTAGCTGAAATTTGGTATAGGTAAATTAGACTAAATGAAGAAGATGTTCAAAAAATTCCACCGGAAACCGCCTCAATTGACGACGGCTGGGCAGAACCTCCTATATAAGGGGCTAATTGAACACTTTAAATTAATTCAAGGGCCTATTTGACCCTTTACCCAAATAAAATCTTCATGATTGGTTAAATCGAAAAAGTAGGAGATAGAAGAATTGAAATGTCAAATCTCAAACAATATTTCACGAATTCTAGGTATTTGGTCATGGTGAAGAACATCTGTGATTTGACTTTTTCTTGAAATAGGCAATATTGTTTAGTTCATTTCTAAATTAACTTCAATGATACTTTTACTCTCACACTTCACATACCATTGCCCATTAAGAAATTTTCTATGAGGGAGGAAATGACTCATACAAACCGTTAAGCTTAATCATTCCTTAAAGGGGAATTGACCAGAAACAATAATATCTTTACAAACCCCAACTAACTCAAATATACATTATTTTGCCCAAACATACTTGAAAATGTTGTTTGTACACGTTATTTCTACATGCTATTTTACACGGAGTACATCATTATTCCCAAACGTACTTGGAAAAAGTGTTGAGAGGATGAATTGAAATGTCAAATCTCAAACATTATAGGGCGAGTTTCAGGTATTTGGTTAGGGTGAAGAAGCTCATTATTCTTAGGATTATACACGACATATCTCATTTTTAGTTATCTTGAATTGAGTTTTCATTTTGTTTCAATTAGAATGTGCAATATTGTTTCTTTCATTTCTAAATAAACTTCAATTATACTCCGTACTCGGTACATTTTACTCCCTCATTTCGCATCCCATAAGTAAGAAATTTTCTATTTGACGGGGAAATGAGTCTTGTTACAAACTGTTAAGCTCAATTATCCCTTCAAGGGGAATTAAACAATAATTTCGTTAAAAATGCCAACTAAAATAGGTGAAAATGTTTTTTTGCCGAATTACAAATATTTCACTCAACATGACTCCAATATACATCATTTTGCCCAAACATACTTGGAAAATACCATTTGTACACATTTTTATACGCATCATTTTACATGTATAGACAATTCGATCGACGTGTAAAATGGCGTGTACAAAAAAACCATGTACACGAAACATGTTTGAACATACATAGCAGTTAGTTGATCTACCACCGACTTTTGCAGTTTTGTTAATCCATCTTACCCAAACATAACGGTTCTAGCAACTGTGGGAATAACGGGCAATGGGTTAAAATTATTGCATAGATTTATAGGATGAATTAACATTTTGTGGCTGTGGAATGGAATAAATTGGAAACAAGCACCTCCCGTGACACATCAAATCAAAGAGCCTATTTTCTCGAAACTCATTTGTCTCCCAAGAAAAGGCATCTGGGCAAGAGACATTTTTGAGGTTATTATCATCGCTACGTAGAGAGTTCCATTAAATTACCTCTAATTCATCTTGTCTCATTTGCTATTTGCCAAAGCTGCCTTTGCCTTTTACACATTCCCATTAAATTCCATTTAATTTGTCCCCATCCTTCCTGAGCTCTCCCTTTCTCTTTACACCAAATGTCTACCATCCACAATAGTATATTAGTATGCAAAGTGCCATTATTGCCAAATGATAAACTACTCCGTGTACGTTGTTTTTACATGCTTTAAAAAATGTGGTTAGGATTCACTATACGCACCATTTAATCACAGTCTCTCCGAAACCCGCCTCAGAGTATGTTTGTGTTGGGTAATCTCAGATGAAGGCCGGGATGTGATCCACGTAATGTCAAGTACCCATGTTTGGTTCACGGGTTTGAGAAAAAATCGGAAAAGTTACATTACGGGGAATGTAATATGGAATCTTATAACCACTCATGTCTTATTAGGTTATCTTACATTCCTGATGATGGTCTAATTTTCTTCCGAAAATACCCTCAATTAATTATCTATTCTCATTTAATTTCTTTATATAGTGCGATTTTATAAGACTTTTAATGTAGTTTCTAAATAAGTAAATTTTATTTACTAAAAAATAATCTTATTATTGACAGAGATCAATTAATTTTATGGTCAGTCGATCGTAGATTGTGTGACAACCATTTAAGTAGGAAAAATGGAGTATGTTTATTTAATTATATTCAAATGTCTATCCTTGTTATTTTCATAATTCTTTTTTCCTTAACATTTAAATTTTTTAGGGTATTTATTTTATAAGACTTGTAGATTATTTAAGTTTTTGATGAGTGGATTTCAAAATTTAATGGAAAAATTGATCATTTTTTCTTTAATTTGAAAAGAAGTTTTATGAATAACTTGAAATTTTTTTAAATAATAATAAACATATTTAGATTACTATTTGAACAAAGTTTTTTTCACTTTTGAATTGGATCTACAACTTTTTACAATTAAACATAGTTTACTTAAAAATAATTCAATTAGGTTTGATTTTATTTATTATTAAGATATTTCATTTTTTCTTTTAATTTTAATTACTTTAGATGTAGGTTTTAATAGATTTATTGTGTTAAGGTAAAATATTTAAAGATGTGGGAAAGATATGCGATGTGGGACAACAATAAAGATATCAGACTCCTTGAATAGAACATGTCAATCTGAAGTCAAGCTACTCAATCCACAACTTATTATTAAACATTGAGAAAAGGGGCAAATAAGGCCACGTACTAACCCAAAAAGGTCAAATAAGGCCTTATTTAAGAGGCTCTGTCCGGCAGTCGCCATTTTAGTTGGTTCCCGGTGGAATTTTTTGATGAAATTTTTTGAGCATCTTATTCAGTAAGTCTAGTTTACTCATACCAAATTTCAGCTAAAACTTCAATCGGGAAGACATTCAAATGAATTCTTGAAGATAACTGCACTTTTAACTGCGCAGTTATCTTCAAGAATTCATTTGAATGCTTTCCCGATTGAAGTTTTAGCTTAAATTTGGTATGAGTAAACTAGACTTAATGAATAAGATGGTCAAAATATTTCATCAAAAAATTCCACCGAGAACCACCCCAAATGGCGAAGGCCGGACAGAACCTCATAAATAAGGTCTTATTTGACCTTTTTTGGTTAGTATGTGGCCTTATTTAATTTGCCCCTTTTCCCTTAAACATTCACATCTCAAAAACTGTGAAGAACATTAAGCACACTCCAAATTAACATCTTCACCTTCAATAGTAGACGTTCAACGGTCCAAGGTGAGGGAAAGTATTGCTTTATCATCCAGAAAAAACCTCTTATACATGTCA